CTGATCACAGCTAATATAGCAAAGCTGCTCTCTGGCTTTGAACACAGGAGCAGCAGAAGCATCTGGACACACTTTACTGGATGCTGACCTTAATGACAAACATCAGAAATGAAGCAGCAGAAGCTTCTTTGATGGCGTGCGGTCTGAACATAGCATTAGACTTTCTGATTGTTTGAATAAACCTATGAAACATAATATTGTACCTAAAATGATTTCATGTCTTCCTTATGAAATTTCCACCTCTAGTCAAACACACATACTTCCCATAGTCAGGACAAAAGTAGAGTTGGAACAAAGACAAAGAGTTAGCTGCATTATAACTCAAAATGCAGGAAATAGCATTTCAGAGAGTGAATTTCTAAATTTTCTTGGGGGAGAATACCCCCGGACCCCCCTATGGGGGAAATATTCCTAGCTAAAAGCCTGAGTGTGATGCTGCTGTTCCTTCATGAGCTCCAGGCAGGCGAATAAACGATAAACCAACTTACTGGGGAGAAATCTATGGGGAAGTAGCAGGACGTCACTTCGAACAGCTCCTCCGTGAATTTACCTGAGACAGAAGAGGGCGGAAACAAAGACGGTTACCCTCGGAGACGGAGAGAGGCTGGGAAGACCAACCTGAGGGGGTTGGAGTATTCCTACCAAGGTTGTATCCCCGCAGAAGGATGTTCCTGGCAATCTGGAAGGCTAACAGCAGGTTGCGGGGATCCCTCTCCCCATCCATCGATTGGACGAAACCAAACACGAAATCTGCGCCCAAACCCTTCAGTTCTGTGGAAAATGAAAAACAGAAACGTTCACATGGTCCCGTAGATCAGTGTCCCAAACCTGTTTAACCCCTTTGGGCATTTTGTCTAATCATGAGTCCAGTAATGATGATTTTCCAGAAGTGGAACGCGCAATAACTTATTATAAAATACAAACTATTTGAGCATTTTATACTTTCCATCTCAAATAAAAAAATAACACAAATATGTAGCCTGGAAGAATAAAATAAACACAAAAAAAAATCATTTTATAAACCTATATTTATGAAACTGGTGTAACTGCCTTATAATCACATTTAAACTGGATGAATTGGGAATAATAATTTAAGTCAGTCTAAATTAATAAGTTTTACTTTGTTTTCATCCAGACCCCTGAGCTGCTTCGATGAGCTCCGATAGCTCAGTGTGAAACCAGGATGTTCTCTACATCCAGTCCGTCTCCCTATGGATGTGTCTCAGCTAAAGGTGCTGGTTGATAACTGATTGACTTTTCAATTATGTCCTCAGAAAGCAAAGCACATCCCAGACCTATTCTATTTACCAAAGACATCAAATATTTTCATGTACCCTTTGCAATGCACTCGCGGACCACTAATTGCCCAATCCTAATCTGTAGTGTGATTTAATCCTTCCCAGCCAGCATGTCTTACCGTCCTCCCTGCTCTCCATGAGGTTGATGAGCATGTTGTAGACGCACGCTCTCTCTGCAAGCATCAGCGACTGGTGGACAGAGAGAAACATTAGGTGACGTTCATTTAGGCTCAACAACAGGTTAGAATCAAGAGGAATTGGAGGGGAACCAAAGTGCGGTCAATAACTGAACAGGCAGTGATTTCCTCACTGAAAATAGCAGGTTAACGCGTGTTTTTAAAACATAGTCGACACGCTAACAATCCGCAAAAAAGCTGGTCTAACTCTTCATTGGCAGNTTTAGCTCCGCCTCTCAAACATGAATGACATTCTGTTAGTTTATCACATAACAAAATGTGAGAAAAGTCCAAGGGTGTAATGAGGTGTGAAACCTTTAGCTCATTATACTGAAGCCCATGTGCGTCTCACCTGTACATGAACGTCCTGAAACAAAGCCTTCAGCATCGACACCGCCGCACCAGGAGGCAACCTTCTGGACTTGGTCTGGAAGAAAACCAAAGAAAAGTCAAACCCAAACATCCAAAGCAGGGAATTTCTCGTTCAACACTTCAGTTATTCTTTCCCAGACGTCGCTGCTGCGTTAGTCCACACAGCACAGCCTTACAAGCGCTTGAAGCCCCCGTAGAACAGGCGGCGTGATGACGTAATGGTCCTTCAGGCGGTTTTCATAGAAGGCGAGGAGCAGTTCCACTGTGAAAGAAGTGAAACTCCATCAACTTGTTGCGTTTTAACAAACCAGGGCGGCTAGTTTCCAATGATTTCTCCCCCACCAACGCTTCTGGAAGGGTGAAGGCAGACGGCGTTTTACCTTCTCTCTCTGTCAGCTCTGCGTAGCTCTCCTGTAAAACTTCAGAGAGCAGCTGGACGCCTCGGGCTCGAGTGTGGGGCTGAGTACTGGTAAGGCTCTGCCTGCATCAGGAAGAAGGAAAAGTTAAATATAGAGTTTTCCAATAAACAGTGCAACCAATCCATTAAAAGTCCCCTTAAGAATGAACAGGGGTGCCCTCTACTGGAGGACAGCAACACTACAACACTGAAAGCAAATCAGTCAACAAAATTTAATCTAATAAATCATCCATCAATAATTATTCAAATATCAATCATTAATATTAAAACATCTATGTGTTGTAAATTGGACACATACAAATAAAAATAAATGCATGATCTCATTAAACTTAGAGTCAAAAATTATGGGTTTCGTTCCACAAGACCACAGCCACATGTCATGAGTCTGCCACCTCCGTACTTCACAGCTACGACTGATTCTTAGGTTTGAAAGCTTTTCTCTTTTTCCTCTGACTGTAACAGGGACCCTGTTTCAGTTCATCAGAACACACGTCACGCTGGCCGACATGATTGCCTCCCGCAGCAGTGTGTCGCAGTGAGCTTGTCGCAGATATTTTTGATCTATTCTCAATATTGGCGCGTGGTCTGCGCTTCGTTAATCCACGCCACAACAGACGACCTGGTTTCTGAGCATAAACCAGGTTTAAGGCTGATTTATGCTCAGAAACCAGGTCGTCTGCGTGTGCGTCCGTGTGACCGCTGATATGACCCCCCTTCTGCAGACACTCCGCTCTAAAATTGTAGGTGACCGCAGACAGTGCTGCAGACAGGAGGCCTCTGATTGGTCAAATCTACATCCACTCTACTCTATGCGTGTTTCCTGTTCGGTACCTTAGCGGCTTGTTTTGTTTGTCTGACCGCCATTGTGGAAAACCACTCGTGAAGATGGACCAGCTAGAGGAACGAGGCGCATGAGAACGCTGGGACCCTTTTTCCCCCTTGATCCCTGCTCTTTTTGGCCCTCATGTCCCTCCGTTGTCGCACAATCTCGCCCCCACTTCCTCACCGCCTCGGCCGTATCTAGACCCACAGCTAGTTCCTGATTGGCTCTCTGGCGTTGTGGCGTGGAATAACATTGCAGACCACGCTTCAATATTGGGCATAAATAAAAACTATCTGCGTCATACCTGCGACAAGCTCACTGCGACACACTGATGCAGGAGGATAACCAGCCCTTTAACCAACAGACCTGCTGACTTCATCTGCAAACTGTAATCTTCCAAGGTAGTTTTATCTTTCTTTCTGTGACATTTAAGCTTTCAGCACTGAACACATCCACAACTGATCAACGTGATGTTTGCAAATGTTTGAGATGAGAAGCGCGGCACATCCAGGAAGTTATCTGGAGAAACCAGACTTTTGATTTCAAATTTTCCCCTGAAGGCAGCAGTCTGTCTTTGCTGCTGCCTTCAAATACACCCACTCTGTTCTTCAGTTTAACTATGTTTTAAATTTTCCAAAAACCTAAACTTATTTAACATGTCAAACAGCACATAGTATAGATTTCTATTTACTTTGCAAACTGCCAGTAAATGACAATGCTGCTAATCATGAAAGTGTGCAAACATCCACCTACAACAGAGGGCAGATGAAATATATATTTTTTAGTTAAATCAAGCTTTAAGTTTGTATCACATATATTAGTGAGGTATGATGGTGTGATGACGTGCTCAAAGCTCACCCCAGTGCCTCCACCAGCTGCAGGACAGAAAACTGTCCTTCCTTGACACCTTAAAAAAAAAGGAAAAAAAAACTTTATTAAGATGTAGATTAAAACATCAAACTCCACGCAAGCAAACAAACATGCGTGGGTTACGCAGTAAAACCCCCGCAGAATCAGCAGGTTTAAAGGTAATCCCAGAGGGTAGTTTTTTTTTTTCCCAGGCGGACACAAACGCATCATCAGGAGCAGCTAGCAGCATGTGGTTTAAACCGTGGCGGAGCAGCGACTCCAGGCCTCCTGACAGCAACTAATTAAGCTGTTTTTGAAGTCCTACATTAGAGAGAAATGGGAGAGAAGAGGCGCTTTAAAGCCTCTTAGTTTGTCTCCAGAGCTGCTGCTGCTGCTGCTTCACCACACAGGATGTTGTGGTGCTAAAGTTAGCTAGTTAACATGGCAGCTCAGCAGCCGCTTCTTTTAACACCGACTCCTTCGCTTTAACATCGAGTGGATGAAGCAGGAGGCTGCTTTACCTTTGGCGGCATCCTTTGACCTGCTGTCCTGAAGACCGGAGACAAATTCATCCACCAGAGACAACAGCAGCGGCGGAGGACTCTCTGCAGCCATCGCGCCTCTGTTTCTCCGGGGACTGCGCATGCGCTAAAAGTTTTACTTCCTGTTACTTACATATCTCTTTAAAAGAAAAAGCCATGCATGCAAAGTATCACATTATGGAAGAAAAACAGTCTCATTAGAATATGCCTTTTTTAAACACTGTTTTTTTTTTACACTTTCAATTCCTTACACTGAATTTATATTTGGTAAAAATTTGCCTGCAAAAATTCAGCTCCAAAATATTTTGCTGCAAAATAATCAGCTGTAAAATATTCAGCTGCAAGAAATTCAGCTGTAAAAAATTCGCCAGCAAAAAATTCAGCTGCACAAAAATCAGCTGCAAAAAAAAAAAAAAAAAAATTACATACCAAATATTCAGCTGGAAAAAAATCAGCTGTGAACAATTTGCCTGCAAAAAATTCAGCTCCAAAATATTTAGCTGCAAAATATTCAGCTGTGAAAAATTTCCCTGCAAAAAATTTAGCTGCAAATGTGTTGACCACAAGCCAAAGCAATCTACACTCATAAAGTGGAGCAGCTTCTAGCCAATGAAATGAGCTCAATTTGGTCACGTGACACAACAGTTGAGTATAGCTCTGTTCCCGGCTGAATGAAGCTGAATGAGGAGTTTTTCTTGTTAAATAGATATGATTACGAAATGTCAGGTAGCTACTAATAGACAGCCATTAGAGTTTTCCATCTAATGGGACTCTGTGAAATAACGATCACAGCCAGTGCGACACCCGGTCTGCCAAGGCTTTTGGTTTGAACTGAAGGATGTGGCCTGTGGCAAAATTCCCTTTTTTTCTGACAAAATGAGATAATTTCATGGGCTAGAAGCTGCTTGACTGCATCGAGTGTAGATTGCTTTGGCTTGAGTTCAGCAAAAGGTCAACACATTTGCATTTCTTGCAGCTTAATTTTTTGCAGCTGAATTTTATGCTGAACAATTTTTTTAAGATAAAAATTCAGTGTAAGGAACTCAATGTGTAAAGAAATTCAGGGTCTGAAATTCGGTGTACAAAATAAGTATTTTTTTTACATAACTTACTTCAGCGTGGTTGACCATTCAATCACTACAACCAAGTATTAGGGCCAGGCTAGAGATTTATTTTTTTCTATTTTTGAGAATAAATAATAAAATTACAAGAATAAAGTCATAAAATTACGAGAATAAAGTCGTAAAATTATGAGAATAAAGTCGCAAAATTGCAAGAATAAAGTCGTAAATTGCGAGAATAAAGTCATAAAATTATTATGTGAATAAAGACATAAAATTACGAGACTAGGGTTGTAATATAACGTGAATACAGTCATAAAATTAATGGATGTAATATTTCCTTATTTGTCAAACCGATACCAAAGTATGACTTTAAAGGATGCTCGACATTCCTCATTTTAGGGAAGACAGAGCTTCTTGTAACAGTTGTCATAAAAATACAACTTTATTCTCGCAATATCAGGACTTCATTCTCNTGCTCGACATTCCTCATTTTAGGGAAGACAGAGCTTCTTGTAACAGTTGTCATAAAAATACAACTTTATTCTCGCAATATCAGGACTTCATTCTCCTAATATTATGACTTTATTGTTGTAATATTACAACTTTATTTTTGCAATTTTACAACTTTATTCTTGTAATTTTACCACTTTATTCTTGTGATGTTACGACTTTTCGTAATTTTACAACTTTATTCTAGTAATTCTTTGACTTTATTCTTGTAGTTTTACGATTTTATTTTTGTAATTGTACAACTTTATTCTCGTTATGTAACGACATTATTTTTGTAATTTTGCAACTTTATTCCTGTAATTTTATGACTTAATTCTCGTAATACTACGACTTTATTCTTGCAATATTATGAATTTATTTTTGTAATTTTACAACTTTATTCTTGTTATTCTTTGACTTTATTCTAGAAATTTTACGACTTTATTTTCATAATTGTACAACTTTATTCTCGTTATGTTATGACATTATTTTTGTAATTTTACAACTTTATTCTTGTAATTTTATGACTTAATTCTCGTAATACTTCGACTTTATTCTTGTAATATTATGAATTTATTTTTGTAATTTTACAACTTTATTCTTGTAATTCTTTGACTTTATTCTCGAAATTTTACGACTTTATATTCATAATTGTACAACTTTATTCTTGTAGTGTTACGACTTTATTTTTGTAATTTTACAACTTTATTCTTGTAATTTTACGACTTCATTCTCGTAAAATTATGACCTTTTTTTGTAATTGTACAACTTCATTCTTGTAATTCTTTGACTTTATTCTATAATTTTACGCCTTTATTTCCATAGAGTCACGACTTTATTTTCGTAATTTTAAAACTTTATTCTTGTCACTTTACAGCTTTATTCTTTTAATTTTATGACTTTATTCTTGTAATTATACCACTTTCTTATTGTTATATTATGACTTAATTTTGTAATTTAAAAACTTTACTCTTGTAATTTCATGACTTTATTTTCGTAATTAAACGACTTTATTCTCATAAGATAAAGACTTTATTCTCGTAACATAAAGACTTTATTCTCGCAGTAGAAGCTAGTCTTTAGGCTAACCCTAGCGTTAGGGTCGTGGTTGAAGTTCCCTTTAAATGCAGCCACCTGCCTCGCGGCATGTGCGCATGCGCGAGTAAAAAGTTGGCAGGCATTAGCTCACCGCTTCCAGTCACCTTTTAGCAGCGCGAACAAATGTTTTCCCAGTTTAAAGAGGCGCTGCTTCGGGGACAGCTGCTGGGGGCTGCTGCTCCTCTTCTCTCGGAACTTCAGGGCCAAACTAAATCCCTTCCTCTGCATTTCTAGGACTCCTAGCGCGCGGGGAATAATGTGGCTTTGCTAAAGTTTGTGTTTACTGATGTTGCGGTGGCTAACTGGTTAGCTTGGTTAGCTTGTTAGCGCGAACGTTGCGAGCGTTTCAGAAGTGACTCCAGCAGCCGCGCTAGCTGGAATAGAAGTTTGTTTATGACGCAGACACGGTTCGTTGTTTGAGTTTAGGAAAGACTGAAACTGTCTGGGGAAATCTTCACTGGATCCCTGCGGTACAGACCCGGATGTTAAACCAGGCTCGGAGCGGTCTACCTGCCACCTGCCTCCATCCGTTCCAGACCTAGTTCGTCGCCCCGGTCCGCGATGAGCCGCCTGCTCATCCAGTAAGGATCCGTAGAAAAAGAGGGAGAGCAGAGCTCCGGCCATGGGGGGATGTGTGGGGAGATACTTGGACGACTCGCAGAATCGAGGCTCGTCCAGGAACGGGGGACGAGGAGGTGAGACTGAGCATAGTTCCCTCTATAAAACACATTATTCATCTGCTTTAACTTTTCCACTTAAGCATCTCTTTTTAAAATTCTGCCTTCACTGTTACCTGGTTTTATTCTTTCACTCTGATGTTGTGTGTAAATTGGTCATCCTAAGTTCCTGTAACCTGAGCTTTGATTTCAAACCGCCTCCAGTCATGTCAGTAATGCAGATCTTTGCTTATAGTTCCTGTTTGTCTCCTCTGGCATCCGATGGGACATTTCTGCAGAGCATGAAACTACTTCCCTTCTATCACAGCTGGAAACTTTGACTCCTGGCCTGCTTCTGGCACCTTGACCACTACAACCTTTCAGTCGAGTTACCACTAAAGTTGTTGTGCTTTATTTGGATTTCTTGTAACACACCAACACCCTGTAGCAGGTATTTGTGAAGAGGAGTGAAAGAAATGATTGTTCAGCCGCAGTGAGTCAGTGTTAAGTAGAACCAGGTTTCGCTGAGATGGCATTCTGAGGCGTTTAGGGATTGGTCTCTACCAGGGAAAAAACGTTTTTTTTTTTTTGGTCTTTTTTGCAAAACATCTTCAGTTTCCTCAGACTGGGTGGAGAGCAGCTCTCCTTTAAAATCTGGACTTTCTCTCTTCCATTTTAACCCACAGCTGAGCTTTGTTCTGCCTCCTTTATTTGCATTGTTGCTCTGCAGGTAGGAAACCCTCCCACAGCATGATGCTGCCGCCACCATGGATGTTCTATTCATGCAATGGTAGTTTTACATCACTCAGCTTTGCATGTAGCTTAGAAAGTCAAATTCTCGTCTCGTCTGAACTTTTTAAACATTTGCTCTGTTCTCTTTCTCGCTGCTTGGAGACTTTTTCTCATTTTGAATTTTTCATGGAGTCATGAAGGTGATCACTTTCTCTTTCCTTACCCTGAAATCCCACATCCTCCGTAACCACCCCACTCCATTGCAGACGGCCTGCGCAAAGCAAAGCCTACATCATCCCCGGTCCCTCCTAATCTTGCTCTGCTCTGAGCCCCTTGGAGCTCGAGGAGAGCATGGGCAATATTATTATTTCTTAATTCATATGAGCAAAACATGCAGTAATGAATGCTTAATTTAATGACTTATTAAAAAAATTCCCATCAGCATCAATTTAACATGTTTCTGCCCAAATATTTTCTTTTGGTTGTGGGTCTTTGCAATAGAGATAATTAGGATCATACAACTTTCTTTTTTTCTCTATTTCCAAACTCGGCATCTCTTCAGCCATGCCTGCGATAAGAAGTTTGTTTTGAAGTTGTGAGATGCGCTCTTGCAAGTTATGACTGGATTTGACGAAACTTTAGTTCATTATGTTTGCATCCAATCATTTCATTAAACTGGCCTAATTTTTGGGTATATATAAGAATTACGCAGCCAATCTGTAAAAAATCGGATCTTTTCGACGTTCCTTTTCCTGATGCGGTTGCAGTTGCGCCTCTTGTCCTGAGCGGAGCAACAGCTCTGCTCCTATTTTTGACGGCGAAGGACGGAGAAGACGTACGTAGGCGGTGATGTGTGGGGGAGTAGTGGTGTATGTGGAACTGGCCTCATTGATTAACATGACTGCACAGGTGCTCCGCACAACATATGTGGGCGGAGCCGTGCGGTGATGGAGGAAGTGGAATCTGGGGTTGAACTCTTTTCTAAATGCAAAATGTGTCGATTATATAATATGTATATATGTAAAAACAATATAAGCCAATTTTTCTTAAAAATATGTATTTTCCTTTGGTTTAAGGAGATGATGACAATTTCCCAGCAGAATAAGATGATTTACATTTAAAATAGGAAAAATAAACTATCAATACCTTTTATTACTATAAAGGTATAGAGGACAATCTTTTATTTCCGGGTGGATCATCTCAATAAGTAGTCCTCCTAATTGTCAATCATTGTGGTGATCGGTTTATGTAAGGCCATCCTACGTGCTCGTCCCCATTTTCACTTACCGGTGGTGAGTCTGACATAGTGGAGAAAATTGGAAATCTTCTTTTGGAAAGTAAGCTTGCATGAGTGATGCAAACAGCATCTTTTAAACTTTCTTTTAAAGGACAAATGGTCTCGTGCACGCTCTCGCACATGTTTAATAGGCGTTCCCACTCAGGAACAGCCACAGGGTTATGAATGTGTACAAAACCTTTAAAGGTAAAATACTCTTTGCAATATCTTGCTTACCTGCTTAAATAAGGACTTATTATTTTATATATATATATATATATATATCTTTTGAGAAGATATTGTCTGACTGACTGGGGATCTTTAAGGGCTGGTTATACTCCTGCAGCAGTGTGTCGCAGTGAGCTTGATGCAGACATTTTTGATTTATGCTCAATATTGAAGCGTGGTCTGCGCTATACGCTGTGGGTCTAGATACGGCCGAGACGGTGAGGTAGTGGGGGCGAGATTGTCCGACGATGGAGGGACATGAGGGCCAAAAAGAGCGGAGATCCAGGTGGAAAAAGGGTCCCAGCGTTCTTGCATACCTCGCTCTTCTAGCGGGTCAAACTTCACGAGTTGTTTTCCACAATTTCGATCATAAAAACAAAACAAGCCGGCCTCCTGTCTGCCATCACCTACACTTTGGGAGAGGTGCAGCAGAGTGTCTGCGGAAGGGGCGGTCACGTCTTTTTGTTCACTGCGACACCTACGCAGACGACCTATTTTCGAAGTATAAATCAGCCTTAAGTTTGTATTTTCAGAGCTGCATATTTTTTACCAACTTACTATAATTATTGGTGAACAAAAACATTCAGGCTGAGGTTGGTTTGCCATAACGTGAATTAGAAACATCGAAAAGGAAAGAAGGCAATGAGAGAAACTAAAAAAAACTAAGAAGCAGTGGAATATGATGGAGACTATCACCTGGTTAAATGTTCATTTCATCCGTTTAGCTTGGAACTAAATGAGTTTGATTATATTGAGGAGGTTCATAACTGTAAAATATTTTCCCTACAGATATAAACTATACCTCTGTAATATTCATAAAGGTATTTTTAAAGATGACATTTTCTTATTTCATATGTTTATATAATGAGGCCCATTTCATGGTTCAGCCCTAATGCAAATTTTCAGTCCTGATGTGACGCAGATGTTGCAGATTTGATTATCGGCCGACTTTTACCTGAAACATTATCAACCTGAATCATTCCTTCTTCTATTACTTATTTTGTAGAATGGAATGTTGGAATAGGCTCGACCACTTAAACATAGATCAGTAATAAACAAACTTAGTTATTAAAACAATGGATGATTATTAACCAGCGAGTTGGCTAAAATTAAATAGAAACAGGCAGAAGTGCCTTTTGTCTATCAGCTTGCTGATATCTGAGATTTATAGATGCAAGTAAAGCCTGATATTCGGGCTGCAACTAACCATTATATATAAAAATATAAATTATTATTTTTTTGTCTAATATGGACACAATCTATCATCATACATCTGTTTTGTACTGCCCTACTACACCCTAGTTCAAACTTTCCAGAAAGCTGCATTTATAGTGAGATTAAATGAGACCCCAGCTGATGGTGTTTACCAGCTAGCTGACTGGTGAGCTGGAATGTAGAAGTGTTTGTCGTATAAAGACGAATGCACAACACGCCTTTTCAGATTTTTCTTTGTAAACTGATGAGTTTATTTACATTTTCCTTCCACCTTATAATAATGCAGCCCTGTGTTAATGGGGATCATATAGAATCACAACTAAATCTTAGTTTTTTGCTTTTGACAATGTGTGGAAAATGTCTACATTTCCGAACATGCTCTTCTATAACCTCTTGTAGAATCAACAATTTAATTAAAGAAGATGCTCTACCTTTGGGGATCTCATTTGGAAATGATTCCTTTTGTTGTGTTGTTTCCTTCAACATTTTAGCCTTTGGCCAAGTACCTTCTTTAAGCCAATTTTAGCTTGATTATTGTTTTAGGGATGTCTCATGTTATTATCAATTTTTCTAAGGTCCACTTTTGTGTGTCTATTTTTTCTACAATCCTTTTTGCTGTTGTAAACACCAGAATTTGCCCGTTGTTGGACAATAAAGAGATTTTCTATTCTAAAAAAGTAATATTGTTTCTTTATCAACCAGCATCTAAAACAATGCCGATAGAAATACTCTGCTCTGTTAAAGTTTCTCTAACTCATTCAATCTACTTGGATCAGTTGTTTTCTTGCCTTTTGTTTGCTGCTTTACTAATATTACTTGATCAAGCCTTTTCTAGCATCCTTCAGGATAACATGAGTAATAAAAGCTGTTATGATTTGTGCTAATATTGTATCAGATCAATAGCAGTATCGACCAATTCTCAAAGCTCCAATATCTGTGTTGGAAATGCAAAAGTTATATCAGGACACCAAACGGTTTTACATTTGTCTGATTGTGTTGTCAGAACCTAGACTGTAGATGCTTATCAGGTTAGATGCTCTAAGGTCCAACAGAGGAAACGTGCAGCTGAACTCAACAACTACACCACGACCTCCCAGGTTACTGAATTAATATGATGGAATTAATGATTTCCAAAGAACACAGATGTAGATCTATTATTAACAGGGTTTGTCGCCCTGACATACTGTCAGACTATTTACCTTTGCTATAAGGAAGTGATGGCCTAGTGGTTAGGGCAGTGCGTTTGTGCCCTGAGGAAGTTTCAAGTACCCGCTTCGATCCCCACAGCCTCCACTCTGGGGTCCTGATAAAGACCCTTAACCCCACACTGCTCCCTGGAAGCTGCACAATTGCAGCCAAATGCTCCCCAAGGGGATGGGTTAAATACAAAGTGAGTCTCCCCATGTTGGGACAATAAAGGGATTTACATTTTATAATAAAGTGGACGCTAAGTATGTCTAGCTTTCTGTTTTTAGTCTAGATCCATTAAAGAGTGGAAATAATCCGGATCGGACTTTGGATTCATCCTCGGTTCTGCTCTAGCTCAAATTCGCTCTGGTTTTTCTTCTCTTGCAAATACCATTGAGAC